GAAATGATTTAGCTCCTGGTTGTTCAGTTAGGCACATTTAAATATACAGTATAGGGATCTATAAATGTATACTGTTCTGTATGAACTTTCTGTTTTATTAGCATTCATTCTTATTTCTTGTGAAAGAGCTGGTGGGTTTCTGTAGCCTTTCAAGTAGGTATGAGGGTCTGTCTCTTAAAGTAAGAAAAGTGACCCTCCAGAGCAGAATGCTGTGGACTTTTTCAGTGTGATTTCTAGATCAGTTTCTCAGTTACAGTTACGTTCCATTATAATACTACAGACAACTTTTTTTTTTTCCCCCCTAAGGAAAAATGTCACATGATGGCTTGAGGCTGTGGAATATAGCCAGCGCTGTGAGTTTCAAACTAAAGTATGCAAAGGCATATTATATTTTTTCAGTATCTTAAAAGCTGGGGTTTTTTTGAAACAGATTAAAACGGCATGACAACTGAAACGGGTGGGGACAGTTTTTATCGCTGCAACCTCTTGGTTTGTAGATCTGCCCAGTCTTCATTGAACTAATTAGATTAAACAAAAGCTTTCCTGAGATAATCACTTTGCAAGCCTTTTCCTATATTACAGCAACCAGCTTTAGTATGTTGTTGAAGGTCAAATGCTAGTACCAGCTAATGCTTAATATCTGAATGTATAGGGTTCAAGCAGATGTATAAATTAAATTGAATGACACAGGATGTATAATTGCTGGAGCTCTGACTCTTGAGGTGTGAGTTTGCTTAAGTGTTTTAAGATTTAATTTTCTTAATATTAAAATGCATTTCCTGTAGTTTGGTGAAGCAAGTATGAAATGCAAATTCAATAACAGGAAAAGCTTGGATAGGGGTCCAAGGTATGCTAGGTCCTGTGCATCTGGGCAATAGTAATTATGCCACACTTAAGTACTGCTGTTCACATTTGATTGTCAGTGCATGGCCACTGCAAATTATCACTTCGAGATATCCTTAAATTTAATTAATGTAGAACACATATTATAGCTTTCTTCCAAATAGGGGGAATTACTAAATACTAAATTACTAATTACTAAATACTTTCACCTAAGAAGGACTATTTCTCCAGTCCTTTTCGAAGCATGCTTAATGTTCAGGGCTGCCTCAATAGTAGCTGCTTTTTGGGCTGGGGTGGGGTGGGGTGGGGATTAACATGGGTTTGTATTTTAAGTGTTGTTACAAGAACACTTCAAGAAACATGTTACAGCTTCTTCTAGCTTGGTCAACACAGTATGTTCTGGTGGCACTAAATAGAGTTGTAATCTATAGTCTCTTCAAGCTTTGGTAACCATTTCAACATGTAGACTGTTTAGAGCTTGTCCTTTTTCCAGTCCAACTACAGAGGCTTGTGAGGGTGTCAAACTTTTGCTACTGGTGAAATTATCTAACTTTTGTTTCATGGGTTATGGTTTTGAATTATTGTTATTGTCTTTGGTGACAAAGCATGCTCACTTAGCAATAAATACCAATTTGCTTTGGGTAAGGAATTTAAGATACAGTACGCCTCACAGGCAGCCACGATGACGTGATATGTCAGTGACGCTATTACAGTCATAGAACAGCAGCGTCTTTTCAGAGAGATTTGCACAAGTATCTGAATCCTGCCTATGAGAGTTTGTGCTGCTGCTGTAAGGTGCCTCTGCAGTACAGGACTTTTAGTCACTTGAGTGTGACAGACAATAGCTTTAAAGTTGCTCCTAGTCTCAGTGATACGTAAATAAAGCATTATCCAAAAGTTGATGTGCCTAATGAAAGACAGACTTCTCTTAATCACCTTGGGTGCAGCTTGTTTAAGCTGGACGCTAACATAACTTCAACTGAATTAAACTTTAAATAAGCTGGAGCTTCAGTAATGTGTATAAGTGACTTTTAGTTATGATAACTGTTTCTTGAATTTCACATTTGAGATATTAGCAGATTGGAAGTTTGAGGTGAGTTGCTTTTAACTATTAAAGCTTTAGAGCTCATGCTACTCAAATGGCTGCTGCAAGAATTGAGTTGAGAACTGGCACACTGGTCAAAACAAAATATTCTGCTAGTTGAAGAGCTAAATATTATAAGACAATCTATGTAGCTTAAAAATATGCTTTCTTTTATGATAGTTGAATTTCACTGTTGATAGTTGCATTATGCATTGCCACTGTTACAAAAGTGGACTGTTGGAACTTGCTGTAACAGGAAGCGATTCAGTGTTGCAAGGTTTGACATCAAACTGTATTAAGGATATTTCTTAAAGAAACTTGTAGTAAGATTTTTCTGTAGGAATCAGCAAAGAAACTGTGTTGAGTCCATTCTGTACTCGTGTGCTGACAGGCTGTTGTACTGTCCATTGAAATGCCTGGTGAAAATGGGCTACTGGAGCAGATTCTTTCTGGTCTGATTTAATGTAACAATTGCTAATGTTTAACCAAGTTTTTATGATTTGGAGCAAAACTGCTCTTGCTCAGTATTCAGCATTTGAAGAATCTTCACAATGTTCCTCTCAATTTTCCAGAGCTATTTCCTAACATGGATGTGCTAAATAGTCTTTAACACTCTGCAGAACCTCACTGCTTTTGTAGTGTAAATGTAAGCTTATTGAACTTGTCTGTGAACCCTAAGGGTCCGTTGGTATATAAGGACACTACTGAGGTACTTCAGAACATCTGCGAACCCCTTTCAGTATAAACTGTTAGTAATAGCTAATCACTGGACTATTATGTCTTAACAAAAATTAATCTAGATGCATAGAGATGATAAGAACCAGAGTGCAAAGCACAGTATGAGCTATGATTAAGCAATGTTATTGCTCTTAAGATTATTTGCACGTGAAAGCAAGTCTTGCCCTGGCCCAGTATTCAGTCTGAAAGCTTTTCAATGGCAAGTGAGCAGTGACTAGAGCTGTAGCTTTTCCTAACCTTGTGTCTGTACTTGGATTTGGGTGTATTTGGGCCTCAAAGTGCAGGGCTCCTGCTAGAGGCTTGAACAGAGCTATTCTTAATTAAAATTGAATCAAGTTTGATGTAATTAGTTCTGGAGCATTCTGCTTGGTCTATTTTTGCCTAATTAGCAGCTGCAACATCTTCTCCATAGCTATACAAACTTACTTGCCTGATCTGCTTCTTGTTATACTGTCATAGCTTGTGATCAGATGCCAGTTGATAAGTCCTCCTAGGCTACTAGCTGGCCAAGAGCATCCAGTTTTTGGGCATTAGATAAAGATGCAGTGTGGCTTTAAAGAGCACTCTTTTATATGTGATTTGCCTGAAATTCTTCACTTACAGGATACTCTAGCAGAACCTGTCATAGTAAGCTGAAGAATGTGTGTTAGTCAAAACTGCATCCTAGCATGCAGGTTAACACCATCGTCATGGAGCCTTCAACTGTTGTAATACTTTTTTACAAGTAATAGAGAAAACAATGAAGATTTAAAATGAATTTTTAAATTAGGTACCTTATTGATGTTATAGGATGTTGAAGTTTTTTGCATACGAATATTGATTGCTTTATGCTTTTGTTGCTCTCCAGAAAACAGCCATAGCCAGTGCTTTTCTCAGAATCTCCTAGTGATGTAAGTAGTTTTGCTGGAGATGGGACTGTCAGTTGTGGTCGAGTGACATCACTTCAGGGTCTTTCAGCATCGGTGGTTGTCTTCAGTGCGAATGCAGTACTGTGGCATGGTGCTTAAAATGGTAGATTGACTATAGCTGAAGCTGACTGTTTCCAAAGCAGAGAACTGAGACTTTTCTGGAACCAAGACCTTACATTTCTGGTAATTAGGTGCCTGGACCTCAACACAAGACAGCCGAACAGTCCTCTAACGTGGCAGGGCAATAGCCAGAAATCTTTTCTTTGCTATTTGACTCTTTGCCTTCGTAAAGCAATGCAGTCAGTGGTAACTGTTTGCCTTTGCTAGGCATATGACACCTGAGGCTCTTGTTGACCTGGAAGTGTCCAAGTTATTGTTCATCTGAGCCTGGCAGCCATAGTGTTTCATGGGGGAATATATTGTTACTTGTGCTCACCGTGCCCCATTATGTCGATAAAGCTGACTTGCATGATCAGACTTCTGTCTTCTGCACACAGCAAATCTTTATATAGACATGAAGTGTTTGTGCGTTCACTGTACTGTTGTGCAGATACATGGGTACATCCAAGATGTGTCAGCTGAGTGGGAATTAAACATAGAGTGCCTGTGCAGGTTAAGAATGCTGTGGGTAGATGTTAATTTCTCAGCTACAGTGCTCTGATATCAGACGGAAGAGCTGCTCTTAGCCTCCCTATGCGGAAGGTGGTATTGTGCAATTTTCCCCTCCATTCAAATAATTAAATGCAGATCCTGTGGGAGGCTTGAGTTGTGATGAAATGGGCTGGAAGGGGGCTAAAACTGTTTGGACATGAAAATGCATTAAGACCTAGGTCTGCCTGAAGATATACTCCCACTTACGCTACAAAAGTACTTCACGCGTGGGCTAACTTAGCGTTGAAACTGTTTTCCTTGAGGTTTGCACGAATGAATTCATGGGAACACACAAAAGCTTGCTCATCCCAAACTCTGAGGTAAAAGCTTCGGTGAAAAGTCAGGATTTTTAACTAGAGCATGTTCTTACCCCATGTGACATCAGTGGTGGATGCTCCAAACTCCCATTTCCCTGGAAACAGATTTACTTCCAGGTGTTTTTAAAGGTTTCCTCTTGATGATGATCCATATGGATATACCAAGCAAAATGCAAGACTTAAAGGCAACAGCTGTTCTAAGAAGTTAGTGATTTAAGAAAGTATAACAATGCAAGGTTATTTTGGGATGGAAAACATCCATTTTATGCCTCATCACTCTTGCCAGCTGAATGCTAACTAAAAATATTATACGAAATATGAAGAAAATGTCCTTAAGCAGAAACTTGTTCTGTAACTTCAATGTGAAGAGTAGGGTTGTCTTACAGTATATTTCAGTATAGCTGTTATGTGACTGAATGTAT